TGGTATAAGTATTGCTACCCCAACTTTTTTTTGGTTTCTATTTTCATGAAATATCTCCTTCCATCCCTTTACTCTCAGTCTGTGTGGGTCCTTCCATCTAAAGTGAGACTCTTGTAGGCAGTATATGCAAGGACCTTGCTTTCTCATCCACTCAGCCACCCCATATCCCTTGACTGGAGCATTTAATCCATTTACATTCAAAGTAATCGTTGATAGATACATAGCCATTGCCATTTTATTACTTGTATTTTTTATCTTTCCTGTTTCTTCTTCTTAAAGAAGTGCCTTTAATATTTCTTGTAATACTGGCTTGGTGGTGATGAACTCCCTCACCCCTTCTTGTCTGGGATGCCCCCCATCTGTCCTTCAATTCTAAATGGCTGCTGCTGGTCTTTGAGCATTGGTTTTGTATCCTCCAATTTTACTGAATTCATTTACTAGTTCTAATAATTTTTATGTGGAGTATTTAGGGTTTCATGTATATAAACTCATGTCATCTATAAATAGATTATTTTATTTCTTCCTTTCTAATTTGGATGCCATTTATTTCTTTTTCTTGCCTAATTGCTCTAGCTAGAACTTGTAGCATTTTGTTAGATAGAAGTGGTTAAAGTGGGCATCCTTGTATTATGCCTAAGGAAAAACTTTTAGCCTTTCACCACTGAGTATGTTAATTGGGGGTTTTTCATATGTGCCCTATATTATGTTAAGATAGTTTCCTTCTACTCCTAGTTTGTTCAGGGTGGTGTTTATTTTTTTTGTTTTGTTTTTTAAATCATGAATGCATTTGCATTTTTAACAATCATAAATTTTCACACAAAAATCAAGACTCCTATCCCCTATTTAAAAAATAGATCTTTCAACACTGGGTTCACATTTCCTTATGGTCTCTGAAGCTGAGTTAGCAAATGTTCTCTTTATACAACATGCTCTTCAGACATGAACTCTATCTAGACTACTTCACTCATTATACTTATCCAGAGGAATTTACTTTTTTTGTCCCTGTAATCATAATAGCAAAAATTAATTTAGTGCTTACTTGCCACCTCACAGTGTCCTAAGCACTTTACATGTATTGAATAATTTATCCCTCATAACAGTCCAGTGTAGTAGGTTATTAGTATCTGCTTTCCTGATAAGGAAGCTGAAGCACAGAGCTAATAAGTGGTGAAGTGAGCAAATGTGGCAATAGAGTAGTAAATTGTAATAAAGAAAATATTAATTGGGGGAAAACAGATAGCTGTGCTTATGTGGTGCCCTTCATTTTATACACAATTTAAAGACAAAGTCAAGTGCTTGAACTTTCAGATAGCAAATTACCTCACCTATTTCAAGATTTGTGGTTGTGTGCCATGCATTTGAGGTTGATAAAAGTCTGAATGCTCCTGAAATGGGATGTTATTGTGTGCTTTCCTTTGTGGGTATACAAACCAATTCTTAGTTGTTTAGCCCCGAGTGCTACAAGTCTGAGCTTTCTGTCTGATTGCGAGAGTGAGGTGGTGGTGCTGATGCGGGAAACAAGTATTTCCACAGTGGTGATCAGGAACTCTAGTAACTTCTTTGGGCTTTCCAGGATCTGAATTATTTGCAGATCACAGAAAGAGCCTTTTAAATACAGGCTGTGTGTACACAGAAACTCAA